TAATATTATAGAAAGTTACATGATCGTCAAGCTTCAGTACTAGAGAAGACACTTCTCGCAAAATTTAGGCAGCTCTTTCGCATCTTGCGATGTTTGTCTCCTCGCTCGATACGCCTTCCCTACACCGTCTACTGACTCCAGCGGTACAGCTTGCTTCGAATCCGAGTTTTAGGGTATCTATTTAACTCACTCGAGCATTCCTAATTCGCTAAACTTTTTCACTCTTAGTGAATGGTGTCTTTCAGCACTTGGACATAGACATGGCTTGCGTATTGAGCGCTTTATCTCATTCGCTTTGTGCCAGCCATTCCGAAAGTCGAGTTCACGAAAACGCTGTAGAGTGTCCGGCTTGTGAAAGACTGTTAGCAGGCATGGAAGTCCCGGAACAAGACAAAGTTCAGCAACTTGCGGGATTGCCAGAATTGCTAATAAAAGTGTTGACGGACGAGAAATATAATAAAGAGAAACACATCAGATTGGGTAGGTTTTCGCGGTTCGGTTCTTTCACTGCTGGTTATCATTCCAAACAACTCAGATGCGGCTGCATTGCTGTTAACGACATTCTGTCACGTCCTCTACTCTCCAGATGTATATCTAAAGCTGGCAAAAGCTAGTTTGTACCTAATAAATGATGAAGACGAGGATGTCCGCGCTGTCTATAAGTGAGTCACTTATTGCCACATAGGTACCAACGTTTTAGCAGCTTATAATTATTCAGGTCTGCTTTTAAAGTCATAGTGTCCAGCGCACTGTCATCTGAGTTGGTTGACGACATCTTTGTCGAGCAGTTTTGCAAATCGTATCCACTAGACTGTGACCAGACAATGGCAGAAGCTTCCAACATTTTTGTAGTCTTAGCAGCCAAGCATTCAAGATGCCCCCGACTTGCTGAGCAATCATTGCACCAGCTGTTCGTTCGAGCGTTGCGTTATCCTGGTTCTATCGTAAGTGTATATGGTGAATTATGGGGATAGATAATTAGCGCAGCATTTTCAGAGTATATTCGATGACTGCAAACTTACAGTACAACAATTAGCTGCGCAAGAGTTCAAAGAAGGTCGAGATGTACGGCGCTTTTTCGCTCGAAGGAAGAGGGTCAGTTGATAGCTATGACGGTGAACAGTTGTTGTGGCCTGGCCCGAAGTATTAGGTTGGGAAGAAAGTTCTCGGACATTCTCAGACTAGATCTGCTACTCGAAACCCAACCATATACACCCGAAGGAAATACCATTCGATAGAGCAAAGCGAGCTCTACAAGATGGCACTACTGGGTTGGCACCAAGTTTGATCCACGTAGAGTTCGAAGGCGAAA